CCTCAACCACGTTCCTGCTTCCACGATCTGCAGCCCCCGACCTTCCCGGTGAGGTGGTTGCCAAGTTCTCCCTGCGTTACAGATGAGGAAATGGATACACCTAGTCCCTAAGAACTTCCCTGAAGGCACATGGTTGGCCACTTAAGTGCTCAGGAAGCGTCCCCTATTATTCTCTTACTAGCTCTAAGAACCCAAACCAGCACCACACTGGACAGCGGCCCGGCCAGAGAGTAGGAAGGTGATTGATCTGCAGATGGGCACCCGGTCTGGGCACAGCCGCCCCACCCAGGAATCACAAGCAGAACACTAGATGTGTCAACGCGGAAGTGCTTCGTGGGCATTCATTCATTAGGGCCTCATCGCGCCCTCGGAGGGAGGTTACTCACTGCCTGCATTTGGCGGAGGAGAACATGAAGGCACCAAAGAAGGTGACTTGCCCAGGGTCACTCGGCCAGTAGGTAGCAGAGCAGAAGCCCAAAACTAATGAATCTGGCTTCAGGGCCTGTCTCCTTAAGTTCTCCTGCCGCAGGGGATGGGCCCTGGGTTTTCTGGCAGTGCCAGCTCTGCCTGGAGCCTAGCCTAAGGGGCGGGGGATTTTCACCAAAGCAATGGATTTAGCAATGCCAAGCCAGCCATCGCCTAAATGACCCACGTTTACGTCAGTTGGATATTTAAAGTGTTGGATTCACTGGAAAACACCTGGGGGATTTTTGTGATGATCTTACTAGTCTGAATCATCCCACCCCCTATCAGCTCTCACCCCTACATGCCCCTAGGTAGGGCAGACGTGGCCTCTCCCCACTGTGGAAGGTAAGGGAGGGGGAGGGGGCGTGACTGCTCCCTGGCTGGGAGCATGGGTCAGCCCACTTACACCACCCTCCCAGAGTGAGCCTGGGGCTGGGGTGGGGCAGTGGGAGGGGCCTGGGCTGGAGATAGCTTTTAGCTCTTTACCCTCGTTGGGCTTCCAGGTAAACGGGTGGGACCGAACTCTACCCCGGTCAGGCCCCGTGAGCATCCCTGCAGACTTACTTAAACAGTGACGTGGCACGCAGTGGGAGGCAGTGACGCTCTGCCACCGCGCAGGGCTGTTTGGATCCTGCTCTTCCACAAGCAGGTGCCCTCACACTGCCTGCCCCCTGCAATGCAGCCCTTGTTGCTTCTAGCACCTGCGGGCCCCAGCCCCGACTCCCTGTGTACCCCAAAGCCATGTGGGGTACCCAAGCCCTATATCCCCATCTTGCTCAGCGCTGACAAAATCAGAAAGCAAGAGCTGGCAGGTGTTTTCTGTAAGGGTCGGAGAGTGAACATGTGGGGCGCTGCAGACCTCACAGCCTGTGCCACACCCACTCAGTGCTGTGGAAATGGCTGGAAAGAGCCACAAGCACCATGTAAACGCCTGTGCACTGCTGTATGCCACTATGATTTTATTTAGGGACACGGAAAGCGGAATTTCATATTATTTTCACGTATTATGAAATGTTCTTGGATTGTCGTCAGCTACTTCAAAATATAAAGACCATTTTTAGCTCATGGTCTGTATGAAAAGCGGGATTTAACCCTGGCTGGCGTAGCTCAGTGGATTGAGCGCGGACTGCGAACCAAAGTGTCTCAGGTTCGATTCCCAGTCAAGCCACATACGTGGGTTGCAGGCCACGGCCCCCAGCAACCACACATTGATGTTTCTCTCTCTCTCTCTCTTTCCCCCTCCCTTCCCTCTCTAAAAATAAAAAAAAATAATAATAAAATCTTTGTCCTGGCTGGCGTAGCTCAGTGGATTGAGCTCGGGCTGGGAACCAAAGTGTCCCAGGTTCGATTCCCAGTCAGGGCACATGCCTGGGTTGCAGGCCATGATCCCCAGCAACCGCACATTGATGTTTCTCTCTCTCTATCTCCCTCCCTTCCCTCTCTAAAAATAAATAAAATCTTTAAAAAAATAGAAAAGAAAAGAGGGATTTGGCCTGTGGCTGTGGTCTGCCAACCCCGCTGTACACCCAGCTGTGCCTGTCCTCTCCCTGAAGCCCTCCGTGGCTCCCTGTTTATGAGATGAAGTCCAAACTCCTTGGCGCGGCCTTCTAGCCCTTCCACCCTGGTTATAACCTAGGCTTTACTCGCCTGTCATCGGCGGTGTTGGTTATCATGTCTTCCTCTCCGCTGAATGAATGAACGGCAACCCCCAGGTCTGCTCAGAGCAGGGGCCTGGTTCTATCCCCATTTAACAGAGAAGAAGACTGAGGCAGAGAGAGTTAACTAACCTGCTCACGCTCAACCTGCTAACCAAGGGTGAAGCTGTGTTTCAACCCTGCAGTCTGGCCCTGGTGCCTAGTGCCGGGCTCTTTCTCCCGCCGGGTGGCCTTCCTCCCCTCTCCGCCACCCACACCCACAGCTCCCCACGCGGCTGGCCCTCCCAGGCACCGGGCTATGTACTGACCAGTCACAGTACACACGGTGGCTGCAGTCGCTGCTCTGGGGACACAGTCCAGCTGGGCCCAGGAGGCAGGGAGTATGAAGAATGAAAGGACCCTGCCCATCTAGAGGAAGGCAGTGGCTCTAGCAGGTTATTGGCACTTGGGAATCTTCTATGGAAAAATCACTTGCTTTTTTAGACATTGAAAAGTAGGTCAAAAGTTTAATAAATCCTGGAGAGTCTTCTCTAGTGGTTTCTATTTTCTCCCCGGCAGCTCCTCATGGCTGGGTCTGGCAACCCCTTGGCTCCTTACTGCTACTTCAGACCATTCTCATGCCCTCCTCCTTAAACCTAGTTTCTCAGGTTGTGCCAGCCCTCTCCTCCGTGGCTCAGGCATCCCCCCTCACCAGCCCCAAGCCACATCCCCAGTTCACCCAGGAAGGCTACTCCAGTCCCCGGCCACTCTCTCCACGGCCACTCCAGTCTTCTTCCATAGAACAGGAGCGGGCCTTCCCCACCTCCCGGCTTTTCTTTCCTGGACTTCCTTCTCCGCCCTCCCCACTCTCATTCCCAGGCGCAGAATCACTATCAGTAAGTTCCTCCCAAGCAGCCCACAGGCTCACCGCCCCTCCTGCAGAGTGATGCTCTGGAGACCAAATCGGATCACTGGGCTCTAAGCAAAGCCCTCCCAAGCTCTCACTCCAAGGAAAAACCAAAGCCTCCCAGGCCCTGCCCAGCTGCCCCTCCCCCTCTTGCACTGGAGTCCCTTCAACTCCCCTCCCCTACACTGATCCCTCAGGCGGCACTGGCCTCAGGGCCTTTGCATTCTCGCCCATCCCTTCGAGATCTCTCCACAGGGAGGCGGTGGCTCCTGCCTCCTCCTTTCCACCCTCTGCTCAAACGGTGCTTCTGAGCACGGTGGACCCTGGCGCCCATTGCATCGCTTACTGGTTTGTTTATGGCCCGAGTTCCCCACCGACTGGAATGCGGGCACCACAAGGGCAGGGCCTTTATCTCCTCTGTTCACGGACGTGCCCCCGGCAGCTGGGACGGCGCGGGCACAGATTAAACACCTGATACCGAGGAGGGACAGCCAGGTGGGAGGGGAGAGCTGCTGTGAGCAGAAATACAGCAAAGGGCAAGGATCTGGAAGTTAGAGAAAGTCTGTGGAGTTCAGCTTGACAGTGTGTGTGAACGGGGCGGGGACAAGGCCCAAGTCAGCCTTCTTGCTTCAGAAAATGGGGAGAGGGCCCTTTAGATTTCTGCTGGCAAGGGGCGTGGTTTTCCTTCTCAGAAGATCCCTGTGGTGTTTTGACGTGCTGAGGCCTGTGCCGGGCCCTGGGAGGCGGGAACTGAAACATGGCCACTGCCCTCTCCGGTGCCCATCCTTCCATCCAGCTCTGCTTCCCCGCCCCCACACAGACCAGCTGCCTGGGAGGGCTGTCTGCCTCTTGGGGTCCCCTGCCCCCAGCAGCTGTCAAGGATAGTCTGGTGTGGGTGTGGGCCACAGGGTGGGCAGGCACAGACCTGAGGGCTGGAAGCCCAGGGCACGCAACGTGGAGGCTTAAGCCCTTTACCCCAAGGAACCGACAAATAAGTGTGACCTTAGGCAAGTCACTTCCCCTTTCTGGTTCACTGGTTGACCCAGTGATTTCTGTTGTGGTCCCACACCGACAGCTACATAATGTGAGCATTGTCTAAGCACCAACACTGTAATTAAATGCTTCCTGTATATTCTGCTAATTATCCTAACAGCCCTACATGGTGGTGATTAATTGCTCCGTTTCACAGAAGAGGACAGCTGAGGCCCAAGTTAGCTGGGACTTACTCAAAGCCACCCAGTGAGTGTGGATGAGGCTGAGGTGCAGGGAGTTCCTGGGGGCAAGGTGGACAGGCAGAGGGTTCGGGGGCGGGGGGTGGGCAGGTGCCTACCTCCATGGTGGCTTCTGCTGGCTGGCTGGCCCTGCTGACGACCAGCTTCCCCCGGGAGGCCTGGGGCCCTACACCGGTGATTGCTGGAGCCTGGAGGCCGGTCCCCTGTGGGGCTGGGGCCCAGGCCCCTATCTGCAGGGCTGGAGTCTTCCTGCTCACTCTGCTCAAACTCTGGGATCTGGAACATGCTCTGGGCTGTAGGGACAAGACGGTAGGTAGTTAGGGCACAGCTGGGGCAAACGGTGGCTGGCGGTGGGCGGGGAAGCAGGCGCCCCAGGTTCCCTCTCCCACCTTAGGACCCCAGATCCGCCTGGCCTCCCAGGCCCCTGTCTGTTCCCGGAGTCTGGCCGGGCAAGGAGCTCAGCCTGTCCACCCGCGATCTAAATCTCCTTCCAGAGCCCTGGTGCTGTGGAGCCCCGGACCCCTACCCAAGCCCCGGCTAGACCCGCCCGTAATGACGGCACGCAAGTCTCACCCCAAGCCCGATCTCGAGGCCCCTGACCCGGGCCTGCACCTCCCTCTAGCACTGAGGGAGCCCGGCTCTAGCTGCCTGGGCAACGGGAACTGTCACCGTCCCGGCCCAATCAGCCATCGAAATGTCACCAGGAGGTGGAGCCACTGTCGACCCAGGCCCCGCCCCCGCGGCCCGACCTGCTGCCCGCCCACCGCCTTCCTCCTGGGTCCCTTCCTGGTCTCTGGATGCTCTTCTCCCAACTTCCTTGTACCTGCGGCGTGTGTGGGAGCAGATGAAGGATTCTCTGGGGTGCCCAGGGAATTTGGAACCTCGGGGCTAGCTTCTGTGGACAAGCCCTTCAGCCCCTCTGGGCCTTAGTTTCCACCCCTGTAAAATGGGGATAATGACACTTCCCTCAGGGACCAGTGAACTTCGTAAACCAAGTCGTGATTACTGTGGGTGGAAGCGCTTAGCAAAGGCGTAATTGAAGTTCAGCTCTAGAATGCATCGTTGCTGCTGTCGTTACTACTCCGTCTGGACTGGGTGACCTGGCCCCTCCTCCCCCGCACTGTGGAAACCTCGCACCGCACGCAGCACGGGCACCACTCCCCACGTCTTCTGGGGAGCCCTAGAGATAAGCGAGGGAGCCTCCTCCCTGGAGGATGACTGTCGAAGCGCAGGAGAAGGGATAGGGGCCCCTGTGAGGGTGGCCGTAGGACTCGCGGGGGCTTCGCGCCTGGCAAGCGGCGGGCCAGGTGAGCAGGAACCGCGGCCGGCTGGGGCGGGGGACTGGCGGGCCTCCGGTTGCTGCGGGGCTTTGCGGGTGCTGGCCCAGAGGGCGGGGCCCGGAGGCCATCTTGGCTGTGGGCGGAAGTTTTCTTCAGAGACAGGGCGAGGGGAAGTCGTTGCCGCCCTCGGCCTGGTGGCGCGATCTGGATTTGGATATGGGGTAGAGAAGCGTGGGAACTGGCGGCCCCGCACACAGGCAAGGGCGGGTGGTCACGGACACAACCCGCCCGGGCCCCGGCCGAATACGGTGCTGCCCCAGCACCTCGATCGCCCACCGCCTCTCCTAACTCCCCGCGCCTGGCGGCGGCGTAGCTCACACCCATTCTCCAACGACTACGCCCGGGGTGCGGCGCGAGGTTGCGGGGTTGGGGCGGGGGGGCGGGGGTGCTTAGATCCTACGCAATTTGCGTAGCAAACGGCGCCCGCGCAGGCGCAAGAGTGGGCGGAGCCGCAGGAGCCGGGGAGCTGGAGCCCCGGAGCCCCGGAGCCCCGGGTCCCAGCGACCGGAGCCGGCTCCTCCAGAGGCGGACTGAGGGCCTGGCGTCGACCTCCTCCCGCCTCCCGCGGCTGGAGAGTGGACGCAGTGGAGGGTGGGTTGGCAGCATCCGGAATCCCAGGACTGAAGGCAGAGGCCCCCCACCCCATCCGGATTGTTGGAGGGGAGAGAGCCTCCAGTTTGAGGAGGGGGAGAGCTGGGTGTTGAGCGCCCTCAGCAGCGACCGCTGCCCAGAACCGAGGGGCATCGACCGGCTCTCCCCCTCCTGCCCAGACGACTGGAGCGACCAAGGCCAAGTACCCTTCTCCTCAGCCTCTGCAACTCCAAGCTCCTGGCTCTGGGACTGGCCCAGGGCGGCGACACTCCCCACCCCCCACGCCTTCCACCCTCAGCCCTGGAGACGAGAGACTGTCCTTCCACGTTCCTGAGTGAGGGGCCCAGGCCCCAGGCTGCCAGTGCCTCGCCTCAAGGGCTGCTGCAAGGGCGAATGTCCCTCCGTTTCAAGGAAGGGCCTGGCCAGCCACAACTTCTTTCCCCTTGAGCTCCCCATCTCTGTCTCTGCACCCTGCACCTCCCACCACTCCATATTTATTTTTATTTCCCTGGCCCCCTGCCAGCCCCTCCATCTCTGTATCAGGATTCAGGTCTCCCTCCCTGACATGGAGAGTAACCTGTCTGGCCTGGTGCCTGCTGCTGGTCTGGTGCCTGCGCTGCCACCGGCCGTGACCCTGGGGCTGACTGCAGCCTACACCACTCTGTACGCCCTGCTCTTCTTCTCCGTCTATGCCCAGCTCTGGCTGGTGCTCCTGTACGGACACAAGCGTCTCAGCTATCAGACGGTGTTCCTGGCACTCTGTCTGCTCTGGGCTGCTCTGCGTACCACTCTCTTCTCCTTCTACTTCCGAGATACACCCCGAGCCAACCGCCTGGGGCCCCTGCCCTTTTGGCTTCTCTACTGCTGCCCCGTCTGCCTGCAGTTCTTCACACTGACGCTCATGAACCTCTACTTTGCCCAGGTAACTGTGGTACCCGGGGTGGGGGGGGGCCGTGGGCCGTGGGGAGGCGAGCCTCAAGGGCGCAAAGGAATAATGAGCATCTCTGCTCCCAGGTGGTGTTCAAGGCCAAGGCGAAGCGTCGGCCAGAGATGAGCCGAGGCTTGTAAGTACTCGGGACACTGGTGGGCTCAGCCCCTAGGCCGGGAGCAGCCTGGTGTCCATCCCTTCCCCTGTGGCGGGGCTAAGGTAGGGACAGCTCAGGGAGTGTTCGTGACAGAGCTGGGGAAAGTGAAGCACCTGGCGCAGATGGCCCAGCAGGGGCGTTGCGTGTGTGAAGGGCAACAGGAAGAGAAGCCGTCAGGGGAGGGGGTACCAGGATCATCTGTGACAGGGGAGGAGCTGGAGGCTCCCGCCCTCGGAAGCTCCAGCACCAAACCACTCCTGGGTGACCTTGGGTGGCAATACTCCTGTCATCTGTGCAACATTTTACTGTTTACTAAGAGCTTTTACAAACATCTTTAATTTTTACAACTGACATGTGAGGCTGTTATTATCTCCACTTGAGAGATGAAGAAACTGAGGCCCAGAAAGGTGAAGCACCATGTTCAAGGTCATAGATGTGGCTGGAGGCCGAGCCAGGGTTTAAGCCCATACTTCTGACACCCAGTGGGCTCCTTCTGCTGTACCACCACTGTCGGTCGCCTTCTGACCTCCTTGGGCCTCAGTGTCCCCACTTGCAAAACTGGAGGGACAGGGATCCGACCAGATGGCCTGAGGCGGTTCTGCTGGACACCGGGGGAGGCTGGGTGGTGGGTGAGCACCGGGGGCAGCCGCGGGGCTGACTGTGCTGTGGGCTGCAGGCTGGCTGTCCGAGGGGCCTTCGTGGGGGCCTCGCTGCTCTTTCTGCTGGTGAATGTGCTGTGCGCGGTGCTGTCCCGCCGGCGCCGGGCGCAGCCCTGGGCCCTGCTGCTGGTGCGTGTCCTGGTGAGCGACTCCCTGTTTGTTATCTGCGCGCTCTCTCTCGCTGCCTGCCTCTGCCTTGTTGCCCGGCGGGCGCCCTCCACCAGCATCTACCTGGAGGCCAAGGTAGGGTCCCGTGCCTGGTGCCTGGTGTCCTTTGGGGTCTTCGGGCTTTGGTCTTCAGGATAGAGGGGAAGCTGGAGCCTCCCCTCCCTGAGGTGTCCCCCGTTGTCCTCTGTGCCAGGGGACCAGTGTGTGCCAGGCAGCTGCGATGGGTGGCGCCATGGTCCTGCTGTACGCCAGTCGAGCCTGCTACAACCTGGCAGCCCTGGCCTTGGCTCCCCGGAGCCGGCTGGACACCTTTGATTACGACTGGTACAACGTCTCTGACCAGGTGGGCCTTCCACCTGCCCGTTCCCCTCTCAGTGGCCGTGGCTCCTGGGCCCTGGCCAAGCACCCCACCGGCGCAGTTGCCGAGTGGCATGAGCCCCTGCTTTCCCACAGGCGGACCTGGTGAACGACCTGGGCAACAAGGGCTACCTGGTGTTTGGCCTCATACTCTTTGTGTGGGAGCTGCTGCCCACCACCCTGCTGGTGGGCTTCTTCCGGGTGCACCGGCCTCCGCAGGACCTGGTGAGGGCCGGCGTGGCGGGGGGCGGGGGGTGGCACTGGGACAGCCCGGGCTGGAGCCTGGGGTGGTTGTGGGAGGCCCGTGTGGGCTGGGACAGAACATCAATGGCGGCTTCCTCCCCCAGAGCACCAGCCGCATCCTCAATGGGCAGGTCTTTGGCTCCCGTTCCTATTTCTTTGACCGGGCCGGGCACTGCGAGGAGGAGAGCTGCTCCTGGGAGCGTGGCCAGGGCGAGAGCACCAGGTGGGACCCCTGCACTCCACTCGCCCTGTGGAGCCGGGGACCTAAAGCCGAGTCTTGTCATCCAGCCCCTGCCCGTGCCTTGGCCTTAGATTCCATCTGCGGTGGGTGGGGGTCCCTCTGCCGTCCCCCCTTTTTGCCCCAAGGACACGCTTGGCCACCGTCCGCAGCACTTAAGCCCTGGGTCCTGGGATGTCTGGGTCAGTGGGCTCTGCCGTCGGCCTCTCTCCCTCCCTGGTCACCGCCTTGGGACTGACCCTGTCTCTCTGTCTGCAGCATGTCAGGCAGTCTCGGCTCCGGCAGCTGGTACGGCGCCATCGGGCGGGAGCCAGGCTGGTACGGGGGCAGCCAGACGCGGACCACGCCTCTGCTCTTCTCCCAGGTGCTGGGCCCAGGCAGCCACCACCACAGTCTCTATTCCACTCCACAGACGTGATCCCCCTCCGCCTCTCCTCAGAACGCCCAGACCCCCATCCCTCCCGTCCCGGGCCCCTGTGCCAAGTTCATCTGCTGCTTCTTGCCCAGAATCCCAGGGGCCGTGGCCACCCCCTCCCCTGGCCGGCTCCTTGCTACTTCCACTGTAGTGAGTTCGCGCCAGCCCCCAGGATGATGGGGGGCGTGGCCCTGGCTGCCAGATGCGCACAGCACCCTGGCATGACCTGCCGCCTCCGCTTCTCCGCCGGAGCCAGCTACCTCTCCCGTGTCTGCCACTCAATAAACAGTGTCCGTGCCCCACGGTCAGCCACCCTCCGACCGTTGTCTGTGCTTCTTGAACTGTTGTCTGTTTGGCTGAATGCTGATCGGACACCGGCCTCTGATGGGGGCTCCTTTCCTCCCCGAGGCCGGTGGGTAGGGAGGGAGAGGGAGGGGCCTGCAGTCTGGAGGGAGGACCGACATGAAGGGCCCTGCTGCTACCCCAGTCCCCTCCCTACTTGAATAATTTCTACTCTTTCCTCAAGACTTTCTTTTTTTTTTAAAGATTTTATTTATTTATTTATAGAGAGGGAAGGGAGGGAGGGGGAGAGAGAGAGAGAGAGAAACATCAATGTGCGGTTGCTGAGGGTTATGGTCTGCAACCCAGGCATGTACCCTGACTGGGAATCGAACCTGCGACCCTTTGGTTCGCAGCCCGCGCTCAATCCACTGAGCTACGCCAGCCAGGGCAAGACCGGCTTTCAACGTCACTGCTTTTAGCTGCCTCCCCTCTCCGGGTCAGGGAACTGTGTCCCCTCCTGGTCTTGTGGCTCCGTGGTCACGTGGCCGTTATGCCTCTCATTCCCCCGTGGATCGGGGTTTCTGCAGACCCCGCTTCCCTGCCATCACGCCTAGCCTGGCCTTGAGGTCCGGGGCAGGCTCGTCTGTGGCCTGTGGAGGAGGGGTCGGCCCCTGCCTGGGCAGCCCCCATCTCCCTACCAGGTGTGGGTTTGGCTGGTAGGGTGGGCTGCCCCCACAGTCTGCCTGGGGCTCCTGGGGCCCCCTTCTCTGGCCACCCCTAACAGCACAGTTACTGCCCTCTGCAGCCATGGCCCGGGCAGATCTGTCCCGTGGCTGGGAGTTATTTATCGGGGGGTCTGTCTGCTGTACACGGACCTGACCGTCCCATCCCGGAGTCCCCGGGGGCCTAGCGATGAGCCAGTCTCGGAACCCTTCACTTGGGACCGCCCTGGACAGCAGGACTTCGGGGGCCTCTACCGAGGGCACGGTCACTTCTCGTTAAACGGAAAGTTGCCGATGTTTGCAGGGCACTTGACTGTGTGCCGGGTGTACAAACGCTGACCTCTTTAGTGCTCAGAATAGCACCCCCAGGTGAGGGTCAACGACCTTTTCTGTAAGTGGGCACCTGCAGGCTCCTGAGTCTGGTCATGGGTGGAGGCCCCCTGCTGGTCGGCCTTGGAACCCGCATTTCCACCACCCACCCTAAGGGCTGAGGACCCGAGGCAGGGGCCTGGGTCTTTGGAGAGGTGGGCATTGTAATGAGGGTAAGAGCAGAGAGGAGCAGAGACGTCCAGGACCTTCCAGGGCCCTGGCAGTTTGAGCACCCGGGGAGGGGTTGCTGGCCCGGCTCCACGCTGGGTGAACACAGGTGAGGACCGAGGGGTGGTGGGCGGCACCGGAGCAAGGGCAGCATGGCTCCCCAGACCTGGGCCCCACCCCGCCTGGGCCACATCCAGCTAGCTTGCTAGAGCGGATCCCCCACCCTTTGGCTGGCAGGATCCCCTCCCTCCTGAGTGTCGAGCCCGAGGGCCAGGCTGTCCCCAGGGGCGGGGAGCTGCCTCTCCCGTCCCATAGTGGGTTTGGGAGATGGGCGCGGCGCCAGTCCAGAGGTGAGCCGGCTGATGTCCAGCCTCGGGGCGAGCCGCTGGCCACTCTGTCTGGCCCGAGGGGCGGTGCCAGCGCTCTGGTCGGACACTTGAGGCCGGACCCAGCCGCAGCCCCTCTCCGGCTCCTCTGCCACTAAGCTCCCGGGACTGGCCGGACTTGGGGCACAGGGCTCCCGCAGGTTAGGGGCTGTGGGGGGCGGCATCGGCGAGGGCGCGGCCCAGAGGGAGGCAAGGCGCTGGAGGGGTTAAACGCGGTAGGAGGGGGGCTTCTGGCGGCGGGAGGGGGGGTCCCAGCCCCAGCGGCCGCCCGCTCCGCCCCTGCCGCCTCAGCCGCCTCCGTGGCCCAGCCGGCACCGGCGAGGCCGCGCGGGAGCCTGGGTTGCAGCCTCAGCCGCAGCGGGGCCAACAGTGAGTGCGGGGCGCAGGGGCGCGGGAGCGAGTGCGGGCCGACTCCCACGCGGGGCGTGCAGGGGGTGACCGTCCAGGCTGAGCGCCACCTCCCTCCCACGTGCGGGCGCCTCCGGGAATCGTGCGGTGGCGCGAGCCCGGCCGCCCGTCACGCTCCGAGGCGTCGGCGTGAAGACGCGAGAGGCGGTGGGAGCGAGCGGCGGGGGTGCGGTGTGTCTGGGCGGCGGGCGCTGCGCCGCGGCCCCTCGGCCTGAGTGTGCGTGCGCGAATGTGGGCACACGTCAGCGTGGCCCTCCGGGGTGCCGAGGCCCGCGCCCGCCCCTGGGATCCGGGTGTGCCCGTGGGTCGGGGAGAGTGCAGGTGGAGCGTGGGATTGCAGCCCCAGCCGTGGGCGGCGGAGCTGCAGGGCGGAGCAGGGGTGCGCGAGGCTTTGTGCAGCGTGGGTGCGTGGGCGCGCGGTCCCCGCTGTCCCCGGGGCTGACAGCTGCCCCGGGGGATGCTGCACCGGTCCCGCGTGTTGCCCCCGCCCCACTCCTTCCCGGAATCGGCACTCCCCACCTCCCACCCCGGCACCTCCCTGCCTCGCCTCTGCGCAGGGACCGGATCCATCTCTGGGTTCCTCGAAAGCCCGGCGGCGGGGCGCTGGGGGACCTTGGAGCCTCCCCGCCCGGCCCATCGCGGCCAGCAGCGTTGCCGGGAGAGGCAGGAGGAGCGGGAGGAACCGGGAAGATGCTGCGGCAGCAGCAGCAGCGGCAGCGGCAGCAGCAGCAGCGGACGAAGCGGACCGCCATCCCCGTCCCCGCCCTGCGCTGTGCGGTCCGGCCTGGCCTCCCGCTGCTCCTGCCAGCACCTCCTCGGCCCCTCAGCCTCCTCCCGGGAAGCCGGTTCCCCACGCCCCCGCCGCCGCCGCCGGCCGGCGTTTCCTCCCGGCTCTGCCTCTCCGTCAGCAGGCTCAGTCTCTCCCTCTTCCACTGTCCTTCCTTTCCCTTCCCGGTGCCCTCTTCTCTTCTCACACCCTGGAGCCCCCCGGACAGGGGCTGAGGGCCGGGCAGTGGAGGTAAGGGGGAGGACAGAGGTGGGGGGAGGACTGGGTGTGTCCCGGCGCGGAGCGTCCAGACAGAGGGATGTGAGGAGAGGACATCTGTGGGCAGCAGGGCAGGGGGCTCCAAGGACCCTTCGGTGGGTAGGGGTTGGAGGAGGGTGTGGGGCGCCAGGCCAGGCTATTGATCCAGGCATCCCCGGTTCTGCCCGCAGTGACCACAGCCCTCCAGGAGCCTGCTGCCCAGCCTCCCCAAGAGGGAAGTGGAATTGGCCGGGCCCCTGGGCGCGCCATGCGCAGCACCACACTACTGGCACTGCTGGCGCTGGTCCTGCTCTATTTGGTGTCCGGTGCCCTGGTGTTCCAGGCCCTGGAGCAGCCTCACGAGCAGCAGGCCCAGAGGGAGCTGGGGGAGGTCCGAGAGAAGTTCCTGAGGGCCCATCCATGTGTGAGCGACCAGGACCTAGGGCTCTTCATCCAGGTGTGTGGGTGGGCGAGAGCCCCTTCAGCGGTCACCCGTGACCGCCTGGCACGAGCTGCGTGCCAGTGGGGCCGTGCGCTGGGGTGCTGCTTCCAGGCTGGCACCTTTGAAGGCTGGGGGTGCGGCTGGGGATGCAGGGCAGAGGCCGGGGTCAGGTCTCCATGTTCAATATGGTGTCCACGGGGGCCCTGGTTGTCCATGCTGTGCCTGGCATTGCACTGTGCTCCTGGAAGGTCTCCTTCAGTGTGGAGCTTGGTGGAAGGGAGGGAGGGAGGGAGGAGGAAATGGCTGTAGCACATGAGATGTTAAATTTTCACAGGTCTAACTCCCTGGTTTAGAGTTACCAGGTAAAATCCAGGACACCAAGTTACATGTCAGTTTCGGTTAAACAATGAATAGTTTTTCCATGTAACTATGGCCCGGGGCAATATTTGTATTTGCTAAGTCTGGCTACTCTACCTTGGTCCCTGTACTCTCCTGGAGTCACGATGCCTTAGAGAAGCCCAGCACCACAGCAAACACCCCTCATCCCAGAGCAGTGCACCCAGAAATGTGTGCAGATGATTTGGGGGGAGGTCCCAGGACCTCAGCCTGTCCGTGCCATTGTGGATGCGAGGTCAAGCGCCCCTGTGCCCCAAGACACATGCTTACAATGCAGAGGCTAGAGGGGGGACGAGTTGAGGATGGGTCAGCTTTGGCCCAGCAAGTACATAAAGTGCTGGGCTTGTCTTCTGGGTTACTGTCAAGCCGCACCTCTGTGGCTCTCTCTGACTTCTGAATCACTATCATATCCAAAACCTAAGATTTAACTTTAATAAGTGAGTGCTTTTTCACTTGAGTAAAGAGCACCCCACTTTCCCTGCCCGTTCTTTTGGGGAGAGGAGCCATCTGTACACAGAGGCCTCTGTGTGTGCCGGCCGATTGCCGGTGTGGCAGGACCCAGGGCAGAGATGAGGATGAGGTGGGGCCAGGACACAAAGCAGCCTGACATTGTTCCAGACACTTCTAGAATGCCGGGGGAGGCCCAGAGAGGCCTGGGCAGGACAGTGGCTGGCCAGACCACAGGGCAGAGGGAGGGAGGGAGGGAATCTGACCTATTTTATCTTCACAAAGGAGTTACTTTTTTTTTTCCTGGATGAAAAAGGAGAAGAAAAGGAAGGGCAGAAACTAGAAGGGTGGGCAACAACTGCTCTATTTTTCTTCCACAGTTAGTCATACAGCAATGATGCACCTACTGTGTACGAGGTGCTGTGCTAGCCGCCAGAGTGTGAACAGGGAAACTGACCCTGGGGCGAGACAGATGCAGGCTGCACCCTAGAGGAGGTCACACCTGGGCAAGAGGACAGGTCACTAGAATTCAGTGGAAAAGGAGCTTTCCTTACTTCCTCCTTTGTTAACCGCCTGCCGTATGCCGGGCCCCGGGCTAGGTGCTGGGGGCGAGGGCGGAGGTGCCGGGGCCCTTGGGAAGGGCTGGTAACTGAAATGAGCAGGTGAGACGGGTGGCACGTGGAGACGTGTGAGTGATGGGGTTGCCAGGGACTGCAGGCAAAGTAACGCCCGGGCAAAGGCGTGCACGCTGCGAATTCGGGGTGTTCTGCAGAGCTCGGATTCAGCAGATGCCTAGTCATTTGAAACAAAAATTAGAACACACAGGATGACAAAGAATTTTTTTCCCCCTTAAGCAGTGGATTTACTGGAAAAGTGTTGCCAAATAAAAAAGTCAAATCACTTTCAGTCATACAGTTCACTTCTTGGCTTTATTTAAAAAGCATTATTACAGGAAATGAGATCCTCTTAGAAATCTGGGGCTCAAGTGACCTTAATGTGGGTTCCCAAACAGCAGGTTCAGGACAGAAGACGGGAGACAAGGAGGTTGGGGCCAGATTGGAAAGGGGCTTAAAGCCTGGGCTGGGGATTTGGGGCTCCATTCTGCAGACAGCGGGGAGCTATGGAGGGTTGGGGGCCAGCTGCTTTAGGACAATTGATTTGGAAAGGGTCTTGCTAATGAGGGCCGCAGGAAGAGAGAGATGGGGTTTCTGATCTCCCCCACACTCCCTGCCTTTGTGTCTTGGCTCTGTGCTCCTTGGGGAAGGGCCCGAGGGCGCCCTCTGCTCAGGTGCTCTGACCTCTACCCCTCAGGGGAGGCTCTCTCAAAAGACAGACCCCGCCCGGAGGGACCTGCAGGCTGGAGGGAGGGGCAGACCCTCGGCCATCCCATTACTTTGGTCGTACTCACTGAGCGCCTGCTGTGCGGTGGTATATGAACCGTCCTGGGGGGAGGGTCCCTAACTTTCATCACACTTTCTAAGGCAAGGGACTCAAATTCAGCTTCCATAGGGGTGATAGGAGTTGGGGGGCGGTGGTCGCCACGTGGGGCCACAGTGCTTACTCTGCTGTGAGCACTTTAACCCTTCCCAGCAACTCTGTGTGGTCGGTGCTCTTCTCGTCTCCACCTGGTAGATGCGGAAGCAGAGGAGAGAGAGTTCACCTGCCCAAGTTCACACATCACCAGGATCTGAAACCAGACAGTCTGGTCCCAGAGTCCGTGCTCCTGACCGCTGTGAAATTTGGAAATCTGTTGTGTGAAGTTAGGGGGCAGATGAATGTTTCTAAAATAACGGGGAGGTCAAACAAATTTGAGTCGCCCAATTTGCAATGCCTGCTCCAAGGGACTGCCTTCAGCAAGACCAACTGGAAGGGGAGAGCTGGGAGGGGTAGGAAGGGAACCACCGTGGACACTGGAGGGCCAGGGGGTTGGCCAGGACCGGAGGGAAGGACTAAGCTTCCTTTTTCTGCGCCTTGTCCTGCAGGAAGTGGCCGATGCCCTGGGAGGGGGTGCGAACCCTGAAATCAACTCAACCAGTCACAGCAACTACTCAGCCTGGGACCTGGGCAGTGCCTTCTTTTTTTCAGGCACCATCATCACCACCATCGGTGGGGGAGGGGACTGGGCATATGGAGGGGGCGAGGGGAGGCCGGGCTTTCTCGAGGGGGAATTTGCAGGGGGAGGAAGGGGGATGCCAGGTAACCCCTAGACCTCCTGCACGGCCCCTCTGCCCAGGCTACGGCAATGCGGCCCTGCGAACAGATGCTGGGCGCCTCTTCTGCATCTTTTATGCACTGGTGGGGATCCCGCTGTTCGGGATGCTGCTGGCAGGGGTCGGGGACCGGCTGGGCTCCTCCCTGCGCCGCGGCATCGGTCACATAGAAGCCATCTTCCTGGTGAGCTGCTCCAAGCCCTGGGCTCAGGATACCTTCCCTACGTCCCCTCCCGGCACTCGAGCTCGGGCCCTGAGATCGCGGGAGCCTCCCCTCAGGCTCCCAGAGGAGGGGGTGTGGGGTGTAAGGACGGACGTTTTGGGGACTCCCCACAGAAGTGGCACGTGCCCAAGGAGCTGGTGCGAATTCTGTCAGCGGTGCTCTTCCTGCTGATTGGCTGCCTGCTCTTTGTCCTCACCCCCACGTTCGTGTTCTGCTACGTGGAGGGCTGGAGCAAGCTGGAGGCCATCTACTTCGTCGTCGTGACGCTCACCACGGTGGGGTTCGGGGATTATGTGGCCGGTGAGGCCACCTTTCTTGTGCTTCACTTCCCTCCCCACGTGATTCCTACCCGGAGGCTCTGCACTTCTGCTTCTCCCTCCGAACCCCACGTGGTGTCTGTGCACTCCCACAGGATGGCTGCACCCCCTGTATTCGCTCTTGGAATGCACCCTAATGTTTCTGCACCGATACAACATCTCATGCACGCTTACCTTCTTGCATGCCTGCACCTCCACGCATGTTCACCCACATGGTCAGGAGCGCCCCTCACCTAGGCTCACATTCTTGCACGTGAGCACTCCCCCTCACATGCGCTTCTCTTGCCCACTTCAAATCATGCACGCTCATCTTCTTGCATGTGTCCACACCCTCTGTCACACCCTCATTGTCCTGGGGACAGCGGATCCTTTCCATGAGCTGGAAAGATGGGTGGTGAGAAGGTGACTTCCCAGCTCATAACTTGCCCTACAATCATTTTCTTTCTGCCCTCGCCGGGGGTATCCCAGGCGCCAGCACCAGCCAGAACTCTGCAGTCTATCAGCCGCTGGTGTGGTTCTGGATTCTGTTCGGCCTGGCCTACTTCGCTTCGGTGCTCACCACCATAGGGAACTGGCTGCGAGCAGTGTCCCGCCGCACGCGGGCAGAGGTAGGCGCCCCAGCGTGGCGCTCGTGCGCTGTACCCTAGCAGTTGCTTGGCCCGCCGGCCTCCCTTCCAGAGTGTGGGCTCCTCCGGGCTGGGACTGAGTGAGCCCCATTATGCACTGGCCAGGGGCAAAGGGATAAACTCAGACAGGCTTGCAGGCGACTCCATCTCTGCTTTTACGGGCAGGGTGGCTGGATTTACCAAGTAAAAACGCAGGAAGCCCAGTTAAATGTGAACCTCAGACAAATAAATAATATTTTAGTATAAGTATGTGCCACATATTGCATGGGACGTAGTTATACTAAACTTATTTTTCTTGTTTGTCCGAAATTCAAATTTAATTGGACGACCTACATTTTGTCACCACACTCTTCACGTCCAGACGACGGCCGAGGAGAGCAACGGGCTCTGGGGGCACAGGAGGGAGGGGTGAAATAAATTGGGTTTTCTGGAAAAGCTCCCGGAGTCGAGGGCGCTCCCGTGCGACGCAGGAGGGGAGATCGTGCGGCTAGGTGATGAGCCTTTCCCTCCTTGGGCGCCCCGAGGCAGGAGGACCAAGGCGGGGCTGCTGAGGTGGTCGAGGACCCCCGGGCGAGGACTGCTTTTCCTCCCCGCGCAGATGGGCGGCTTCACGGCGCAGGCGGCCAGCTGGACCGGCACAGTGACGGCGCGGGTGACCCAGCGAGGAGGCCCCGCCGCACCGCTGCCACCGGAGAAAGAGAAGCCGCTCTTGCCTCCACCGCCGTGCACAGCGCAGCCGGCCGGCAGGCCCCCATCCCCTGCGCCCCCCGAGAAGGCCGAGCCGCCCTCCCCGCCCACGGCCTCCGCGCTGGATTACCCCAGCGAGAATCTGGCCTTCATCGACGAGTCCTCGGACACGCAGAGCGAGCGCGGCTGCGCTCTGCCTCTCCCGCCACGGGGTCGCCGCCGCCCCCACAACCCCGCCAGGAAGCCCCCGCGACCCCGGGGCCCCGGAAGCCCGCGGGACAAAAACGTGCCCGTGTAGGGGCAGGACCCACGGCCCAGACCTCCCAAAGGGCTTCGTTCTTGCTCTCTCCCCAGCATGCTTTGCTTGTTTGACCAAAGAACCCTTTTTCCCCCCACCGGACTGGATGGAGCCTGGGGAGCAGGCTAGGTTGCTTGCTTGCCACCGCGGCTCCTGGCCCCCCTCCTCACGTCATCCATTTCCAGACCCCCTTTCTGTCTCGCGGTCCCGGCTGGGGCTGTCCCGGCTGGGCCTGTCCCTCACAACACCTCACAACTGTGCCTCAAAGCCTGCGTCAATAAACGGAAAAGTCTGCACCGCTGCGGACCTACGCGCTGCGAGGACGCGAGTGGGGTGGGGGGTGCTTGCTTCGGGCCACCTCCAGGCAAGTCAGGCCTCGCGGAACGCCCCCTGCACCCGCGGCGGTTCGGTCAAGGCCGGTGCTCTGGACTGTGATCCGCCCCGCGCCTCTGCTTGGAGGCTACTAGGCAGGGTCCAGCGGAGGAATCTGCCAGGATGGGCGGCGAGTCGCCCACCCCAGCACAGCTATTACGCGGGCAGGGTGGATGGGCAGGGGAGAAATAATGGTTTCCACTGTAGAGGGATGTAGCTTGCACTCGTCCTGCACGAGACGTTCCTCGCCCTTCCGGAAAGGGACCCCGCCCCTCCCCCTTCCTGGAGCGAGACCCTGTCTCCCTTGCCCGAGGCCTGTGGCGACTGGGTCCGTTGGGGCAGAATCATGGAGGAAAGTCCTCTCAAAGTAAGAACTCTTCCTGGGCCCCTCGCCCTGCAGGGCCCCTCGCCCTGCCAGGCCCCAGACTCGTTCAGCCCCCGGCTATTCTCATTCACCCTCCGGGCAGCTTGCTGCCCTGCCCGTCAGTCCCGTGGCCCTGCCCCAGCCTGCTCTTCCTCCCCTCCCCCGACACCCCGTCACCTTGGCTCTGGGCCTTCCTTGGCTTTTCTCCTAGGGCCTTTTTAAAAATTTAACTTATTGGGGTGATACTGGTTAATAAAATTATATGTGTTTTAGGTGTACAGTTCTATAACACATCATCTGTGTGCCGTGTTGTGTGTTCACCACCCCAAGTCAGGTCTCCTTCCATCACCGTTTACCCCCCTTTACCTTCTCCCTCCCCCTCCCCCTCTTCCCCCGCCCCCCTCCCCCCTCGGTCACCACCAGACTGGTGTCTGTGTCTGAGGGGTTGTTGTTGTTGTTGTTATTTTGTTTTGCTTAATCCCTTCACCTTTTCCACCCAGTCCAGCAAGCCCCCTCCTGTCTGACAACTGTCAGTCTGCTCTTTATCTATGAGACTAATTCTATTTTTTTTGGTTAGTTTATTTTATTCATTAGATTCCACATACGAGTGAGGTCGTATGGTATTTGTCTTTCTCTAACTGGCTTATTTCACTTAGCATAATGTTCTCCTGGTCCATCCATGCTGTTGCAAAGGGTAAGATTTCCTTCCTTTTTTGTGGCTGAGTAGTATTCCACCGTGTAAGTGTCTCATAGTTGTTTTATCCACTCATCTACTGATAGGCATTTGGGCTGCTTCCAAATCTTGGCTATTGTAAATAACACTGCAATGAACATAGGAGTGCATATATTCTTTCAGATTAGTGTTTCGGTTTCTTCAGATATATTCCCAGAGGTGGAATTGCTGGGTCACAAGGCAGGTCCACTTTTAACCTTTTTGCAGTAACTCCACACTGCTCTCCGCAGTGAGCGCACCCACACACGTGGTTCCCCACCAACAGTGGAGTTCCCTTTTCTCTGCACCCTCACCAGCACTTGTCATTGTTGATTTATTGGCGATAGCCATTCTGACAGGCGTGCTGGGCTTTTCTTGTTGTATGTGGCCCACAGGCGCCAGCCAAGTCTTCAGGCTGCCATGACTCAGTCATGTCAAGCCTGAACGAAGACATCCGGAATCTGTGGACTATGGAGGCGCTGTCGCACTCCAGGCTGAACGTGCCGCTGACTAGTCTTTGTGAGGACTCTGAACCGGAGGGCAGCAGCGTAGGCAGCAAGACTGACCATTGGTACCACCGGAAGGACATCGACCAAGACTCTGAGGTCACCTGGGAACAATGGGACGACAGAAAGGACAAGCCAGAGGAGCTGGGCTCCAGCACCTTCCAGGGAGACGAGGATACCAGAACCAAGACGGGTCAGTGTGGCCTCAACGGGCTTGTGGGCGTCCACAGGGCAGGGGGCTGGCCACCGCCCCAATTTCTGGTGGTGGAAAACGCGGGGCAGCTAGTAGCCGAGTTTCTAGGATTCCCTGGGTGAGGCGCCCCCGCTGAGCTTTCACGCTTTAAATCAACCAGACATTCTTGGAGCGCCCCCTACCGGGAGGCGCCGTACAAAGTCCTGTGGCTGGCGCACGCCAGGTCCGGGAGGAGGCACGCAGGAAAATGCTCAAACGCAGCGCGGTTAGGACCGTGCTTTTAATGGAATAACCAGGATAGTTGAGAAGAGGGAGTTAATTTCTTGTCGGTGGGTTTTCGGAGGTCGAAGAGGTGCCTGTCTGTCATTTATTCAGTCATTGGTGACAATTTTTAAGTACCTACTTCATGCTGGGCACTTTTTGGAACTTTCCCTTCTCCCGCTCGCTCCCCCCCGCCCCCCAGCCCTTCTGCAGATAACTCAGACCGGTAACAGTATAGTAACTGCCATTTATTGAGCGCGTACTGTGTGCCAGGCCCTGGGCTTCCCTCGCATGATCCCCTTTAAACTTCTCAAACTCCACAAGGGGTTATTCTTATGACCCCATTTTACAGATGAAGAACCTGAGGGTCAGAGGGTTTTAGTCACTGGCCCCAAGTCTCACACGGTGGGGCGGTCAGAGCTGGAACCTGGATGGGTGAGACAATAAAGCCCAGGGTTGTAAATCACTGTCCCTTACTGTTTCCCACTACGGTGGCCCCTGGTGCTCTTCTCCGAAGGCTGCTCTCCCTGCCGGATGTCACCCCATGTATCTCTGTCCCAGGAAGGACCCAGCAGTCTGAAGATGACTCATCTCTCTTTCCTCTTCTCCCAGAAACGCCTCCCTCAATGGCATCACCCAGAATCTCGAAGCACTCACCCCACCGAGCCTACTGGGTGGAGCAGCAGAACAGGGTTGGAGGCACCAGAGGAAGACTGAGGGTTTTAGTGGGGTGGGGAGTGGGCGGGCTGGGGATTCGGGGATGGAGGGGATTGTGGTGGTCTGTAGGGCGGAGGGGCGGGTAGGTTGGGGGGTCTTGGGTTGGAGGCAGCAGGTGGGGCATTTCAGCTGTGGGCAGAACGGGGGTCCCTCCGACATCTGAACCTCTTGTGGCCTCTTCAGCTGCCTCTGCCCCTGGTGGAACTCATGGAGAGTGAGGCTCTGGAAATCCTCACCAAAGCCCTCCACAGTGAGTCCCTCCTCCAACTCCCAAGAGACCTTGGGTGATTTTTCAGGACTGGAGCCTGTGGGAGTGGGGTTTCGGGATGTGTTTGCCCTGTCAGATTCCCTTACCGCTCACTAAAATCCCAGGAGCCCCACAGAAAGCAAAAAAGGTGGGGGACAAGGCAGACCCATTGGGGAGATCATGGGGTAAATGTGAGGGGTCTGGGCTCCAGCTTAAGTGCAGCCCCCACTCTAGCTGATGGGAGTTTTCTAAGGCTGCTTCTCCGTTCCTCCAATGGGGGTGACATTTTTGTGTGTGGCCCTGGTCCCTTCCCTGGGTAATGTAAAGAACCTTTGAAGAGTGGATTATCTGGGTGAACTTCCACTGGTTTGCTCTGCTTATGATATGAGGGGGCTGGGGCTGGCTAAGGGCTAATAGTGAGTGGTCCAGGAAGTGTCCAAAAAGCAGCCTGCCACCACTGCCTTAGATCAGGCCCTTATCTTCTTTAACTTTGCCCTCATTCATCCTCCACCTCAATAAGCCATCTTGCTCTGCATCCCCTCATCTGTCTGGAGCACAGGTCTATGACTTGAAACGAAGCTGGTAAGGCTCAGCACTTTGGACATCCAAAGTTCCCCAAAACTAACACAGACCCCAGTGCTCAGAGCTTCTGCCAACCCAGGTTACCCGGGGTTCCTCAAAATCACACATGTGGCCTCTACTGCTAGGGACACCATGCCCCTGCCAACTGAGCTGAGTGTAGATCTATCCCTCCAGGCTACCGGTCAGGGATCGGCAAGGACCACTTCTTAACCAAGCAGCTGCAGAGATACATCGAGGGACTCAAGAGGCGACGGAGCAAGAGGCAACACGTCATGGTGCACTGAGAGCACCAGCTCAGGCTCAAGTGACTGTCCGACGCCAGCCCTAGTCCCTGTCCTGCCCTGAGATGCAGCCCGACCCCCTCCACGTGGAATTTGAACCCTAGAGAAATAAAAGAGCCTGTACAAGGTCCGTGAGTCTGTGCGTGGCTGCCTGCGCGAGGCGGGCGCACACGGCCCCGCCTTTCCCCATGACCTTCAATCGGTCACCGCAGTGACCTTGAGCGTTCTTTGTTGGGGCCCTATCAGCGCCACCTTTCCGGGACTCGAAATCCAAGACTTCTTGCATGTCTTAGGTGTTTCTCCCATCCCAGATTCTGCAGCTTTGTAGGGATATTGGGTTTGCAGTCCAAGTGCTCCCACGGTGTTATTTTGTGGGACAGGGAAAAAGAGAAAGTGGCAGAGATTAGCCTCTAGCAAGCGCATTCTAGGCCCCGCCCCTCATGCATATGCAGATCACTAGCCTTTCCGTTCGTCCGGCCTTCTCATTTACATGTGTCTGTAGTCTCCCGGGTCTGGAAACTGAGGCCACTGAGAGATTTCGCCCACTCCTCTGGCTCACAGCACGCCCCGCCTCCTTCGTTACGTAAGAGCGTTATTGGCTTTACCCCACCCGGAGCCTCTCCGCGTCTTCTCTGATCACGTCCACCCGGAGGCCGCGTACGCAAGTGCGCTGCTGTGGCTTGCGGCAACGGGGCGGGACTTTCGTGAAAGCCCTCCCACTCGCTTCGCCCGCTCCTCCCCTACTCGTCCCGGCACTCAGGCGCTGCCTGCCCCACTTGTCTGATTAGCATAGGGCCCCGGGCCCCGCCCCCTGTTTTGCATGCGCACGGCCGGCCCCGCCCCCACTGTCAGCTGGAGGAAGCGGAGTAGGAAGCGGCCGCGATGTCCTTTTGTGTCCTACAAGCCGCCAGCGGCGCCGCCGAGTGAGGGGACGCGGCGCGGCGGGGCGGCGCGGCCCGAGGAGGCGGCGGAGGAGGGGCCACCTGCAGCCCCCGGCTCACCCCGGCGCTCCAGGCCGCTCGGCCCCCATGCCTGCCCACCCGCCCAGCCGGAGCCCCAGGTCCGGGGGCGGAGGTGGAGCACCTATGGGGAGGTGGGCGGGAGGGGCGCTGGAGCCATGTGCGAGCGCCGCAGGGAGGCGGGCGGGGGCGGGCCCCAGGCGGGGTCCGGCTTTTGGACCGGCCCGGGTCACGGTCGGGACCCGGTGGAGACCCAGAAGAGGTCAGGGTCCGGGAGGGATCCGGAGTCCAGATCTTAGTGCTCCGGCCTGGAGCAGGGGCCGGCTTTGACTTGGGCTGAAAATCCTAGCCGGAGTCGGGCTGGGGCCTCGGATCCAGTCCTAGGGCAGGGTTCAATCCGGCACCTGGAGCTTGCCGAAGTCCCAGGGGCGGGCGGGGGTGGAAGATGAGGAGGGTTCCCTGTCGGGGAAGGGGCTTTGAAGACCACGTGGGGGCGCTCGAAGGGTCCTTGGGCCACCCTCCTCTCTGGGTCAAAGGTCATCGAACCCGCAGGGGAGAACTTCCTCCTCCCTGGCACTCCCCATTTACTTCCTGATAACCTGAAAGAGGTCCCCAGCGGGCGGAGGAGGAGGGGAACGGAGCAACTTCTGGCAACTTCCCGTAGGTGTGCGCGTGTTGGGGGGGGCGGGGCGCCCCGGAGGTGGAGGACCCTGAGGCTGCAGGAGTGTAAGAGCGAATGTGCTGGCGGGTGGGATGCGAGGGGGTGTTCAAGGAGGTGGAGCCGCGCCAGTCAGGTGTGCCGTGGAGTGGGTTTGCCTGGGGGGGGGGGGGGTCAGTGTGTCCGGTGGGAAAGCTCTGAATGTTTCCACAGGGGTCCATGCCTGTGAGTGTGGGGGTATGGTGAGGGTGTAAGGCTGTGTGTGATTATGAGTCATGAGTGTGACTTTGTTTATGGGGTTTGCACTTGGGGAGGGGTAAGTGAGCGTGAGTGAGAACCGGGCCTGGAAAGGCCCTGTGTGACAGTGAGCATGTGAGGACCCAGGTGAGGGGGAGTGTGTGAGCACATCAGCTGCCCTTGGGCTTGTGTGCCTCAGTTTGCTCTCTTGAATGGGGGGTACCCTAGGGAGAGGAAGATGACCAGGGTCCCTCTCTGGAGAAAATTAGAGGTCTCCCATTTCTGGCTGAGGATTCCAATGGGGTGGGAGGTCACCTGGGACCAAGGTTACCCTGCTCACTGGCTTGGGTGGGAGTAGGGGGGTTTCTAAGCCTCGTGCAGGTCCCCAAGTAGGAGACTTACTGCCAGTTACTGGCCCTGGAAGCTCTGGAGACTCTGTTCCCGTGGCAACAACTCGGGGGGGCCTTCTTCATGGGCAGCCCTTCCTTGGACTCTGTACCTCCTGCTTCCCCCTCACTGATAGTGGAAGCCTGGCCCCAGGCCTGGGGTTGGGCAACCAGGGTGGCAGGGTGTCTCTCCATCCCCCATCCCAGCGCCTCCCTGTGACCTGACAGGTTTCTCCCCGCAGGTGACCAGCGCCATGTCCAGCCAGGTGGTGGGCATTGAGCCTCTCTACATCAAGGCGGAGCCAGCCAGCCCAGACAGCCCAAAGGGCTCCTCAGAGACCGAGACCGAGCCCCCCGTGGCCCTGGCCCCCGGCCCAGCGCCCACTCGCCACCTCCCAGGCCACAAGGAAGAAGAGGATGGGGAGGGGGCTGGGCCTGGTGAGCAGGGTGGTGGGAAGCTGGTGCTCAGCTCCCTGCCCAAGCGCCTCTGCCTGGTCTGTGGGGACGTGGCCTCCGGCTACCACTATGGTGTGGCATCCTGCGAGGCCTGCAAAGCCTTCTTCAAGAGGACCATCCAGGGTGAGCCCCCACCCCATTTCTGTGCCCTTTGCCCTCTGGGCCTGGCACTACCCAGTGGATGCCCTGCTAGGTGGTGCTAGACGCCCAGACTGCCATGGTGCCATTTGGGGTTGGCAGCCTGATGTTCCCAGGCCCTCTTACCCCCAAGGAGTGCTCTTTCCCTTAGAAATGAAATAGAGCCGCAGGATGTGTTGATAGATCGGACGTGGGATGTAAGAGAGGATTTGGGATCTCTGAGGGTATGATAGGCTCAGCATCTCCCGGTAGCTCTGGTTGTCTTCTCGACAACCTCTGCCTGCTTTAAACTTTGTTCTGGCCTCTCACCAGCAGAGACCACCCCCTCCCACTTTGTGTGGACCTCCCCAAAGCAGCAGCAGCACAAGGCAGGTTTTCGGGGCTGAGGGGGGCTACCTCCTCTTTCAGTACCTAACTTTAAAAAGACCGTCAGACACCCTGCTGATAATACTCAGGAAAGCTTATTAAAATATGAGCGAGCAAGATGGTGATGAAATTAGCAGCACTTGGGACGTGCCTGTCACTCACATTTTTTATGTGTAAACCTTGGTTACTTTGGGGCTGTGACGTGTGTACTTTTTGAGAACGTTTCTTGAGTGCTTACCAGGCACTGTGCCTCTTTGTGTTCACAATCTGTTACCCCCACAGCAACCTAGGAGGTGCCAGCCAGCACTGTTACAACTGAGGCCCAGGTTGGTTTTTTAAAACTTTGTCTCAGCCCCAAGGTAGAAAATGGCAGAACTAGGGTTTGAACTTGGGCCGATTCAGGTCCAGAGCTGAGCTCCTCGATGCCAAACTGCTGCCTCTGCTTATTGCTAATAACTGAACTTTGGACAGGTGCCTCACGAATGATTGTGACATTCGGCGAGTCTCGCCTTTGCCATTGCCAAGACTCACTGGCCTAGAACCTCTGTGCCCTCTTCTGCCTCCGAAGCCCAGGGAGGCGGCAGGTTCCGGTCCAGGGGTCCCCTGCCCATCCTGGAGCCCTTCATCCTCTGCTGACTCAGCCGACGATTGTTTATTGAACACCAGTCATAAATAGTAGTCACTTACTGAATGGTTAGGTGTTGTGAGCTGTGCTACGTGTGTTACCTCAATTACCCCCTTGCATTCTCACAGCTTGCCTTTGTAAGTGTGCTGTTTCTATCACCCAGTTTTACAGATGAGAAAATTGAGGGTTCGAGGGCTTAGGTATGGGGCTTGTTCAAGGTCACATAGTTGGTATATGGAAGTGTCAGGCGGTTTCCAGAGCCCTTACAAATCCTGTGCTTTGCTGCCCTGGCCAGCATTCCAGGCATGGGGACTCAGGCGGGACTGCTGCATCCTCAGACAGTTTCTTTTCTAGCAGAGGGAGGAGGAAGGAGACAATAAATTGCACACAGTTGTTATAGTACAGCTGTGATAAGTGCTAGAGGGCGAGGAGCAAGGTCTGTACCAAGGAACCTGGCTGGGTCTGGGGCTCAGGAGGGCTTCCCGGAGGATGTACCTCGAGCTGAGCATGGAAGCCCGGTAGGGTGAAGGAGAGATGAGCCAGGGGCTTGGCGGCTGGCTGTGTCATTCAGTCCTTGAAGTAGCCCTGGGAGGCTGAGAGGACTGCCGTGCTTTCATTCAGCCAGTTATGAGCACCCACTATAACTGGTGGGGACAGTCCCGGCCCTCGTGGAGCGGACAGTAATGTTGGGAGACAGGGAATAAAGACGATAAGTGTGTACATTTGTAGCATGTTAGGTGGTGCTGAGAGCTGATGAGAAACTACCAAGCGGGGGCAAGCCCCTGGAGTTGTCGCCAGAGGGGGCAGGTGGCATTCTCACCACCCCTCGCAGGGTCGCCTGGGAGGGCCTGGCGAGGTGCCACCAGGCAGAGATCTGAAGGAGGGAAGGGAGCCGTGGGCTCTGAGTAGGCAGCCGGAGCAGGGTGCGAGGCGGACGAGGCCGAAAAGGGCGTGAGGAGCAGGCGTATAGGCCTCAGGCCACAGGGTTCACTGTGCTCTTACCCCTGGGAGGGAAATCACCGGAGGGTTTTGGGCGGGGCAGGGCTGGGATCTAACTTCTGTCTAACAGGATGCCTGTGGCTGCGGTGTGGGGAGTGACCGAAGGAGGCGCGAGCAGAGCGGGAGGCCAGGGTGGGAGGGAAGGCCCCCCAGGATCCAAGGACGTGTTGGGTTTGGGCTGTGGGACGGCATCAGAGCCGTCTCCTACGCTGCTGCTTGAGCAGCTGGACAGGCGGAGGCGCAGGTTTGGGAGGGGGATCAGGGGCAACATTTGGGACAGGTTAGGCCTGTGAGGCCTTCCAGACAGCCGTGCAAGATGCCGAGGAGGCAGGGGATGTGAGTCTGGGGTGTAGGCAGGTCTAGGCGAGAGATGGATCTGAAAGCCCGTGACTAGGTGCGGTCACCCTGGGAGTGAGCGAGCAGAGACGAGGTCGGAGGGCAGCCCCGAGGGCCCTCAGTGCCCGGAGCACGGCGAGACGCCCGGGAACCACTGAGTAGCCAATGAGGGGGGAGGAGGAAAACCAAGAGTGCATCCTAAAAGCAAGAGCAGAAAACTGTTTCAGTGTTTCCAGGAGCAGGACGCGATCAACGGCATTAGAAGATGCTCTTTTAGGTCTTGTAAGATGAGGATGCGAGTTGATCTCTGAGGGTAGCAACAGAGAGGCCATTGTGACCCTTGAAGAGAGCACACGAGAACAGCGGAGCCCAGAGATGGGCCTTGACGAGAGGCCGGGGGCAGATGCAGCCGAACTCCCCTGGTCCCGCCCAGCCCAGCAGCTGTTCTCCCCAGTGCCCCGGGCGTCCCCGCCCCACTCACGGCACTCCTGCTCTCCCCAGACCTGTGCTTGCCCGGGGCGAGTCAGGGTTCTCCTGTCTGCTGGGCCCCCTCCAGGCCCCGGGAGGCCGCCACTGGAGCCCTGCCTCTTCCTGGCAGGGAGCATCGAGTACAGCTGTCCGGCCTCCAATGAGTGTGAGATCACCAAGCGGAGACGCAAGGCCTGCCAGGCCTGTCGCTTCACCAAGTGCCTGCGGGTGGGCATGCTCAAGGAAGGTGAGGACCAGGCAGGGGCCGTGGCGAGGGCTGGGACAGCTGGGCGCATGGGGCCGGAGAGGGCGAAGCTTGTTGAGTTCTGGTGGAATGGATTGGGCAGGAGGGCTGTGCAGAGCGAGCCGCTCCCAGCTCCCAGGACACAGCCCTGTCCTTCAATTCAAGGGGTGCGTCTGGACCGTGTCCGGGGTGGGCGACAGAAGTACAAGCGGCGACCAGAGGTGGACCCGCTGCCCTTCCCAGGCCCTTTCCCTGCTGGACCCCTGGCAGTAGCTGGAGGCCCTCGGAAGACAGGTGAGCGCTGTGGGTCCTTGGAGTTGTAGGGTCGGGACTGGGCTGGGACACGAGAGGCCTGGCCTATCTGGTGGCACTCCCCCAGGATGGCAGTTATCTTGGGCGCTGGAACCCGAATTTTCCTTTCATGTATTCACTTATTCATTTCCCCCTAGAAGCATTTTTGATGAAAATCCTTTGTCAGTCCCCGAGTAGTACAACAGGGAACAGGGAGAGGTTTTCTAACCCTCAGAACCTGTTCACAAACAGACTGGCTTCCCCTGGGAGACAGGCAGAGCCCTTCCCGGAGAAAGGTGTCTGAGCCTGCTGACCAGTGGCTGTTGAGGAAGGCCACGGGGGCACTGACTCTGGGAAGATGTTTGACCCCAAAGGGCCCGCAAGGTGATGAATCCAAGTGCCTCTTCCAACTGTCACTGCAGCCCCAGTGAACGCACTGGTGTCCCACCTGCTGGTGGTAGAGCCCGAGAAGCTGTACGCCATGCCCGAGCCAGCGGGCCCGGATGGACACCTCCCAGCCGTAGCTACCCTCTGTGATCTCTTTGACCGAGAGATTGTGGTCACCATCAGCTGGGCCAAGAGCATCCCAGGTAAAGGGCCAGGTGACATGGGCTTCCCCGGGGAGGCCAGGCCGTGCCTGGCTCTAGTGCACCTGGCTCAGCCAGGTGTGCTCCCCGCTGCCCTCCAGGCTTCTCGTCACTGTCACTGTCGGACCAGATGTCAGTACTGCAGAGCGTGTGGATGGAGGTACTGGTGTTGGGTGTGGCCCAGCGCTCACTGCCACTGCAGGATGAGCTGGCCTTCGCCGAGGACCTGGTCCTGGATGAAGAGGGGGCACGAGCAGCCGGCCTGGGGGAGCTTGGGGCTGCCCTGCTGCAGCTGGTGCGGCGACTGCAGGCCCTGCGGCTGGAGCGGGAGGAGTACGTCCTGCTGAAGGCCCTGGCCCTCGCCAATTCAGGTGAGTCTGGGCGGGCCCTGATGAGTCTCCAGACGGCCTCCCGTAACTCCTCTGGTGGGACAGTTCCATCTTACAGACAGGAGACACTGAGTCATAGGGAGGAAGAGTGACTTGCTGCAAGCCACAGAGCAAGGCCAGGGCAGGCCCGGGACAGGATTTTGAGCCCTAGTGCAACACTGAACTGGAAAGGCGAATGATTCAGTGGGAGGGCAGGCGGGGAGAACAGAGGGGACCACAGCTGAGAAAGGCAGGCCCTGGCTCATGGGCTGTAGTGAGCGTTGCCTCAGCCGGCCCATCAAATTGGTGTCTGGCCCTTCTTTACGCCTACCCCTCAGTGCCCAAGCGGACGTGCGCGGTCTCCTTCCTGGAGATGTCAACAGCTCTCTCCCTGCTCCCTGCAGACTCTGTGCACATTGAAGACGCTGAGGCCGTGGAGCAGCTGCGAGAAGCTCTCCATGAGGCCCTGCTGGAGTATGAAGCTGGCCGGGCAGGCCCCGGAGGGGGTGCTGAAAGGCGGCGGGCAGGCAGGCTGCTGCTCACACTACCACTCCTTCGCCAGACAGCAGGCAAAGTGCTGGCCCATTTCTATGGGGTGAAGCTGGAGGGCAAGGTGCCCATGCACAAGCTGTTCTTGGAGATGCTGGAGGCCATGATGGACTGAGGCAAGGGGTGGGCATGGGTGGGGGTGCTGGCAGGACCCGCCCAGCATGTGGTCAGCCCCAAGGGGGCACAGCTGGGGTCTGGGCAGTGCCACAGCCTGCTGGCAGGGCCAGGGCAATACCATCAGCCCCTGGGAGCAGGCCCTACGCCCTCCCCTCCCCCTTCCTTGGGGGTGTTAGAAGCTGGGAATGTGTTTGCCCAGGCTCTGCACACAGTGCTGCCCCTTGCAAGCCATAATGTGCCCCCAGAAAGTAGGGGGTGCTGTGGAAGCCATAGGGGGCTGCAGGGGATGTGTGGGGGAGGGGGACAGAAGCCTGATCTCAGGGAGGGAAGGGAGTGGAGGCCACAGTCTCCCAGCTTTTGCTGCTGCTTAATCTGACCTCCCCTCCAGAGCAGAGGGGAATTTGGAGAGCAAAGGTCCTGCCCCCTTGGCTCCTCTCATCATTTGCATTGGGCATTACTGCCCGCCCCCCCCTCCCCCAAGCAATAACTCCAAGCAGGCTCCAGCCCCTGGACCCCGGGGTGGTCAGGGCCCCCCATCAGCTCCCACCCAGCCTCCTCAGGGGGTAGGGAGAGCACTGCCTCGATGCCCTGCAGAGCAATAACACTATATTTATTTTTGGGTTTGGCCAGGGCGGCGCAGGGACATGGGGCAAGCCAGGGCCCAGAGCCCTTGGCTGTACAGAGACTCTATTTTAATGTATATTTGTTGCAAAGAGAAACCGCTTTTGGTTTTGAACCTTTAATGAGAAAAAAAATATATCGAGCTCAACAACACTGTGTGGTGTGTCACTGCGTCCAAGCTGGGGATACACTTTACAAAATCAACGACAGGAATATAAATAAACAAAGATACACACAGTCACAGTGTGGGAACCTGATGCTGGCACACTTAAGTCTCGGTCTGCTCGTCGCTCAGCAGCATGTTTGGGATCCCGCGAGTGATGGGGAACACACGTCCTGACTCCGGGCACTGCAGGGTGCCCTCCATCACCTCCACCTACGGAGAAATGGGGGACTGAGCTGAGCACGGGCAGCCTCCGGGTATGGCTGTGTGGCCAGGAAGCAAGTGACGGGCCAGTTCTCACCTCCAGCAGTATGTGGTGCATAGTCCTCAGAAAATCCTCATTTTGCTCATACCCCTGAATCGGCTCTGTGGGCACCTCGCCCAGAGACAACTGTGGGTGAGAGGCCTAAATTATCTCTGGGAATCCCACACCCAGGCCAGGTGCAAAAAAGGTTGCCTTGAGACCAACCCCGCCCCCGCCCCAGGGTGTGCACGGGCGGGGGGGGGGCTGCTCACGGTATTGGCCGCCTCCACAAGCGCCGCCCACTCCACCTTGGGTATCATACGCGCCACGAAGTCTGGGTTGAACTCCACAGGCATGATGCGGACCTCAGAGGCCTGCAGGCGGTAGATGTTTAGTTAGGCAAGGGCTGGAGCCTAGTTCTATTCCACCCGGGAAAAGGGTGCTATACCGTCCCCCGTACAGTACCTGCAGGCGCAGGGGGAATCCGCGGGGTCCCACCCCTTTCACGTGCGAGCTCAAGAAATTGTGGGTAAGCAGCTTCATATCTCAACAAAACTCTCACGAGGTCAGGACCGGAAGAAAGTGGAAACTCCGTGCGTCACTTCCGGGGACGCTCCGCTTTCTCCTATTGCAAGGCCCGGAGGAGCGGAAGCGGCGAACTTGCGGGGACTTCCGGTGTTCGCGGGAGCGGAGATATCGCGAAGGCCAGGTCGGATCACGCGTTGCTACCGGCAGCGTGTGGCAGCAGGTTACTACGATGCAGGCCCAGTGGTTTTGTCTCCAAACCTCCGCGCGCTACAAATCACGTACAGTGAAAGTCATATGTAAGAAAGCCGCAATGCAGGGGCCTTCGTTGACTGCAAAATAAATGTGTTTTACTTCTACGCAGGCGCCTAAAACTGTCGTAATCCGCCCCTCGCTTTCCGTGAGGGACGGAAACGCGGCTCCAATCCATGAATTAGGCCCTTTAAAGCGGCGGCACCCTATCCTTGCATGCAAATAAGTTGTTCGGCTGCCAAAAGCTCCGCCCACCTGCCCAGCCCCTGATGCACTAAGTCTATTATTATGCAAGCCCTATCCCTAACGTGCCGCCCACGGCGGCGCCGGGGCTTTGTCCCGCCCTAGCGGTCAGCTGAGGCCCTGTGGTTGGCAGGCTCCTGTTGCGGCACTGCAGTGCTGGCCCTCCCTCTTGCGGCTGCTTTGGGGCGGGAGCGGAGGCGGAGCCGGAGCCGTGGGCTGGGAGGTTGTGGGCTAAGATCCTGGTGTGGGTATGATGGGCATGTGTTTCCTCAACCACCTATCGGGCTCGTTACTCTCCCGGGCGGCCGGCGCGCGTCGTGCAGCAACGGTGGGAGGCAGAGGGTGCCTGGAAGCAGGTCTAGAGTGGACGCTTGGCAGAGCCCGCGGTATCAGAAGCACCGCTGTCGCTATGGCCCCGATCAAGGTGACCGCTGGCCCAGTCCGGCCGGGACTGACCCCCTCTTCCTTCCCCCTTCCATCTCTCCCAGGCCCTCCGCCCCGTTGAAGGCAGTGGCCCCCAACCCCAAACTCTGATGGCTTCCTTCTTTTCCTGCCCTGCGGTCCTGTCTCTGCTGCCCTGGAGACTCCTTCCCGTCGTCTGTCCCCCCCCATCTCCGCAGCAAACCTCGGGGTTGCCCCACTGGTCTCGCCAGTTTTAAGGGCTTGGCGCACCACCTCCTGAGACGGTTCTTGAGGCTTTTGAGCCTTCTCTTCCACATTCACTTTGTGACACCCTGTGATGGGTCTCCACCATTTTCAGGCAATAGAATGCCATGGCCTCCCTCACCTTCTGAAACCTCCTTTGCCCCAAGGTCCCTTTCAACCCCCATACATAATCCCCTCTGTACCCTCCTGCACGCTTTGTCCGGTTATTTGGCATCACTCTCACATTGTCTTCTGAAACGTGCTGTGTCTTAGGGCCCCTACTGTGTCCCCCCCCATTCCCCTCCAGACACAGCTGATTCCCTGCTTCAGCTGCTTGGTTCCTCTTGTCTTGAATCACCACCAGCTCCTTAGAACTAAACCCTGCCCCCATCCCAACTATTTTGAGACCACCTCTCTCCCCTGCATCCTACTCCCAACCCCCCCACTTTCCCTCCCTTTTGTTTCCCTGCTCCCCAGGAAGCCCTCATTCACTCCCAGTAGACTGATCCTTCCCTTTTGAGAGATTCCTTCCTCTGTACCTCCCAGATGTAGGGACCTGCACTGCCCCTCCAAAAAACTTTCCCACTTTCTGCTGTCCTCCCTTTTTCTCATTTTGGGGGTGGGTTGCAGACCTGGCCAGGACCTCCTCCCTGGGTTGGTCAGGGCCTCCCCCCCCACCCCGACCCCCATACAGCCCCCTGCCCCTCCCCCCTCTACCCAGTTGTCCCACTTCTTTCCTGTAACTTACACAGCCTGTTTACTCAACTCCTTGCAACTCCCGGAAGGCCTCTCCCTTTTTCTGTTGCCACCAAAAGGCCCTGAAAGAGAAACAAGGCCACCTTGAAACCCAGAGGATGTGGGGTAACTAGGCAGTGGGAGGAGAAGGGAGGGTGACAGGGAGGAACCTCTGGAAACTCTGACAGGCTTGGGCTTCCTGCTGTGTGCCAGTGCTGGCTCCCTGAGGTCTCCTGAGCCCTCCGTTTGCTGCGCTTCCCTGGCCTCCCTACCTGTCTCCCACTGCCCGACTTTGACCTCGGAGTCTTTCCCTCCAGGTGGGAGATGCCATCCCGTCCGTGGTGGTGTTCGAAGGGCAGCCTGGGAACAAGGTGGACCTGGCGGAGCTGTTCAAGGGCAAGAAGGGTGTGCTGTTCGGAGTCCCTGGGGCCTTCACCCCTGGTTGTTCCAAGGTGAGGTCCTGCCTTCTGGGATCTTGTTTGCATCATTCGTGAGTCCTCCAAGTTGTCCCAAGGCAGCTTGCAACATTAGTTGCAGGTGATAACACAGTTAAAAAGCTTATCACGGTGTTTGGAATGTAGGAGAAATGAAATCCAGCACCTCTTATTGACGCTGCCGAGTGACAGGCACTCTGGAAGGTATTTGGGTAAACAAGGCATAACTGTGCCTACCGGAGGTTCTCAGCCTTGACCACAGGCATCTTAAATGTGGATCCGGGCTCCCCAGTGACCAGGGCAAAAAGGAACTGTGGCTCACGCAGGTCTCGGCGTCTGAGGAAAGCTGTGGGAGCAGGGCAGTGAGGAAGGCCTGGAGATAGAGGAGCCCAAAGAGGAGGAGCACTTGTCCCTTGGCTAAGTGTCCGTCTCCCCTCCGCAGACCCACCTGCCAGGGTTCGTGGAGCAGGCTGGAGCACTGAAGGCCAAGGGGGCCCAGGTGGTGGCGTGCCTGAGTGTTAATGATGTCTTTGTGACCGAGGAGTGGGGCCGAGCCCACAAGGCAGAAGGCAAGGTGAGGTGTGGGCCCTGCAGGGCATCGGGGGGCCGGGCAGGAGATTTTTCTGGTGACTTTTACTTTTCTCTTTAGGTTCGGCTCCTGGCTGACCCCACTGGGACCTTCGGGAAGGTGCGTGTAACCCCCACCCCGCAGGATGCCCCCTGGTCCAGGCCTTGGAGGCAGGGATTTGGAGGGACATGGCCAATGTAGGAAGCTTGGCGTCTTCTGGGGGGGCTCCTGACTCTTTTTCTCGCCTCTCCCTTTTCTTAGGAGACAGATTTGTTGCTGGATGATTCCTTGGTGTCCCTCTTTGGGAATCGGAGGCTCAAGAGGTAAAAAGTGGGAGGGTCCTCCACGTGCTTTTCTGCCACCCTCCCTGTCTATTCCCAGCCTTCAGGCTCAGGCTGTTGGAACTGGCCCCGCCCTCTTTCGGGCAGGTTCTCCATGGTGATAGACAATGGTGTCGTGAAGTCCCTGAATGTGGAGCCAGACGGCACAGGCCTCACCTGCAGCCTGGCCCCCAACATCCTGTCGCAGCTCTGAGGTCCTGGGCCTAGACACACGTCCTCCACCCTTTCCCGATTCATCTGCCCAGCCCTGCCTGAGTTCAGGCCACCCAGTTGAAGCCTTGGCCAGATTTCTGCAATAAACACGTTTGGTTCACATCTGTCTGCTTGGTTTTGAATTGCTGATTCTCTACGTCCCAGGCCTCATGACAGTCACAGCTGTGAGGGTGAGTGGGCAGGGCTAAAGAGGATACTCTTATAGGAGACCTTAATTTAATTTAGGAGGTAGTCAGGGAAGGCTTCTTGGAAGAGGTGTTATGAAGCATTTGCAAGCAGAGAAGAGGCCAGTGGTGGAGAGCTAGGGGAGGAGCAGTGTGTGCAGAGGGGGCACAGCCGGGAGGCAGGCTAGAGCTTGGCTCACACCTAGGCTCCTGCGTCTGATCTGTGTGGGTGCTGGATCTCGTTGAGACCATAAACCCTAAAGTAGGGACTTTGGCTCTAGGCACCCCCCGACCTGGGCCATATCCCAGGCCCATCATTTTTTCAGATTGTTGAACCATTCCTAGGAGCCCACACATCCCAGGAAGGGCCCCTGGGACCTTGGGACCGTCTGACTGGCAGGAAGACCTTTATTAATAGAGGCAATGCTGATTCAGTCCAGGAGGGCTCCCTGGAAGAGGAGACTAGGTGAGCTATGGAGGGAAGAAGATAGTGGTAAGGCCTGACCAGTTGTGGGTGTACTGTGAGCAGCCAGGGATCAGGGGGCCAGCAGGGCTGGGGGCTGAGGGCTGTTGCCTACTGCAGGCCCTGCCCTTACGGCTTTGCCTTTTGTCCCTGGGGAGCCATGTGCTTGGCAGCAAGCAGGCACTGTTAGGCCCCTGCCACATTTGGGAGCTCACAGCCTAAGAGGGGAGCAGGCGCTTCAGGTGTAGTCAACATGTTCAACACAATTCTGTGGGATGTGTCCCCACAGCATAGATGACAGCAGGAGGCTTTGGCTAGACATAAGTGATGACAATTTATTCAAGGGCCTTAGGGATTGCAAACCAGAAACAACCAGGCAGTACCTGAAGTGTTCTCAAGAAGGAAGCAAAGCTGAGGTTTCTCAGAGTGAAAAGTCATTCTTGAGAAGAGGCGGTCCAGCATTCTTAGCCTCTGGGCTGGTCCGAGATGGTGGTTAGATGACTGGCGGTCTGGAAGTGTGAACGTTTTCCCCTCAGTCCTTCAGGGGGTGATCGGAGGGTCATCTGGAGGTGTGAGGTACAGGCGTGCCTCAGAGATACCATTTAGTCCCTGACCACCATCACGGAGGAGTCCTAAATCTTTCTGCCGGGGGAGGATGGTATCTTCAGTTTGGGAAGAAGGGCAGCACCTGGGGAGCGCGGCGGAGTGGAGGACAGTGAGACCAGGTGTGCCTGCGTGCCCAGCACCGCTCTCTGTGGGCCGCCCTGCCCCGGGTCCTGTGAGCACTAGGCTCTGAGCACCCTCCCTGCCCTGCCTGGCCGCCCCCCCCCCCAGCTGGGGCTCAGCGCCCCACCCCCCAGGGCTGGCGAGAGCGGGCTGCACTCCTGGGGAGGCTGGGAGATGGCCCAGGGACGGCCTCTGCAGAACGGCCCTCGTGGCCGTGGGATTGGTGCTCCTGGCAGAGGGAACGGTGCGGCTGTGGGCCGGAGGGTGGGATGGCCTCAAGTTGCTGCCCCACACGACCAGCTGGGTGAGGGGGGATGCTGGGAGGGCAGCGGCCTTGGAGCCCCGGTGAGCCGCTCGCCTCCCCTCCCCCCCCCCACCCCTGCAAACACCTCGGGCCGGTGAGGGACATCTGCAGGGCAGGGTCGGGTCAGACTCGTCCCTGGCCTCCTGTGTGCGGGCAGAGCTGAGTGGGGTGAGTGGGAGGTGGGGCGAGGTGCCAGGTGGGCAGTGCAGGGCGGGACGTAACCTAGTGACATCCTGCAGGTGGGGGCTGACACTCGCGCACCTGTTAGGTGTCAGGAGGGGGTTCTGGGGACCGGAGGTCTGAGGAGCTGGGAGGTTGGTGTGGTATCCAGGTGGATAGGGCACTCAGCACGGGGGCTCGCCCTCTGACCTTTGCCCCTTCATTCTCTCCCACAACCTGCTGCCCCTCAGGGGTCCTGGGCTGGGGCAAGGCAGGGGGCTGACCACCCGTCTCGGTCACTTTGGTCACAGCGCTGTCTTCAACTTGATGGCGGAAAGGCCCTTTCTTCCCTGGACACCATCTCTCTCTCTCTTTTTTAAAAGATTTTATTTGTTATTATTTTTTAGAGAGGGAAGGGAGGGAGAAAGAGAGAGAGAGAGAGAAACATCAATGTGCGGTTGCTGGGGGTCATGACCTGCAACCCAGGCATGTACCCTGACTGGGAATCGAACCTGCGACACTTTGGTTTGCAGCCCGCGCTCAATCCACTGAGCTACGCCAGCCAGGGACACCATCTCTCTCAATCCTCCTTGAATACAAGTGAGGACACCGAGGCGTAGCGCCCCCCTTGTGGTCCCTTGTGTGCACACCAGTGCGCGGTCTTGACCTCCAGGTGGAGAGAGAGCGTCTGAGTGGGCTGCTGGCGCCCCTTCCCTGCAGCCGCCCTGTGCCGCCCTGGCAGCCGCCCATTATCAGGGCAAGCGCAGCCTCTATCATGGCCACTCAGCGACCTCTGTCCCCTCCACTCCTGGCCTCTCATCTGCGTGGGCCAAGGCCCAGCAAGGCCTCCGAGAGGAAGTGTCCCCCACGGGCTCCTGTTGCCACTGGCTGGGCCTTGGGACCGGGGTGGGGAGGCGTCCAGGGTGCCGGGGGGTGGGGGGCCGCTTTGGACAGCATGACGGTTGGCTGGGTTGGGTGGAGATGGGGCTTTGGCCTTGGTGCCCCTGGCTGCGGCCACAGGGTTCGGCTTGCTGGGAGGGGTGGAGTGTCCTGTGGGCGGCTCCAGGGGCTGGAAAGCCCCAGATCCACTACCGAATGGCATGGTGAGAGAATGTCTCGGAGCTCCTGGCGGACAGGCCGGGTTCCAGGCCTATGGATGAGCCAGAGCCAGGCCATGGGAGCCTGGAGCAGCGGGTTCCGGAAGCCTGGGGCTGCGCCTGGCAGAGCGGTGGGCATGACCTTCCTGGGGTTTTCATGGCCAAAGGGCCAACGTTAAAATCAACTAACCAACCCACCCACGCACCCTGAAGCAGCCACCTCATGTACCTCCCCAAAACTTCCCCACCTGTGCTGACCTGCCCAAGGTCACGGTCACGCCAGCCCACAAGGCCAAGGGCTTTCCTCAGCCTCAGTGGCGCCGGGCCTTCTCAAGAGTCCCTCTGAAGTGCTACAGAGAGCACTGCCCTTTCCCTTAGAAAACACATGTTTGCACATGCGTGTGCGTGTGTGCGAGGACATCGGCATGCTCTTCAGCAGTTTCAAGGAACCCCTGAAGCCCTTCCAGAAATTCCAGGGGAGCCCTCCAACCCCGTCTGGAAGCCCGCGGCAGAGCGGGGCCGCCGGCCTGGGGCTGAGACCGCCGGACCTCGAATCCTGATCTGCGGCCGAGAAGCTGGGGATTTGGGCGGGTGGTTTACTCGAGTTTCCCTCTGCCCCACTAACCTCATCTTTCACGTGGAGGAAATCCAACCCACCTCCAAGGGGTATTGTGGAGAACAAATGAGACAAATTATGTAAGCATTTGGTGCAGTGCCAGATGCACAGCGCATGCCCACTAAACGGTTATAGACAGAAAAACAGAAAGGACTGCTGTCTCCCATCGTGCAGCCCTGTGCTGGCCAGAGAGGGGCAGGAGCGGGGGAAGGCGTCAGGGCCCGGCCCTGGCACTCAGGATTTCTGTGATATGCCTCTGTGGGCCTCAGTTTCCTCATCAATGTAATGGGGCTACTGATACTCTCTCTCTCTCTCTTTTATCCTCACCTGAGGACATTTTTTTTTCCATTGCTTATAGGGAGAGAGCGAGGGAAGCAGGGTGTCAGAGAGAGGGAAACATCAATTTGTTGCCTTTTCAGACCCTCTGTGGGTATGTGCCCTGAGTGAGGATCAAACCTGCAACCTGGGTATGTGCTTTGACAGTGACTCAAACCCACAACCTTTTGGTCTACAGCACAGGTGGCAAACACAAGGCCCATGGGCCGAATCTGGCCCTCCACCTTGTTTTATCCGGCCCGGCACCTTGTTTCTACCCAGCAGCAGCGCCGAGCTCCTTGCCCCTAGTTAGGAAGTAGTCACATTTATACAGTCCTAAAATTACGTTCAGTCCTTTGAAGGCAACCTCGAGGCTGATGTGGCCCCCGGTGAACATGAGTTGGACACCCCTGGTCCACAGGAAGACATGGTCCAACCAAATGAGCCACACTGGACAGGGCTCTCCCAGGGCTTTTTCAAAACTCCTCACCTGAGGATATGTTTACTGATTTTGGAGAGAGAGGAAGGGGCTGGGGAGAGAGAAACATCAATGTGAGAAACACCTATCGGTTGCCTCCTGTGTGCACTGTGACCGGGGATCGAACCGGCAGCCCAGGTGTGTGCCCCACTGGGAATTGAACCGGCAACCTTTTGGTGTGCAGGATGACGCTCCAACCCACTGAACCACCATAACAACCTGCCATGCTGCTCATATTTGTATCCGTTCTTCTGCTTGGGCTGGGAGTCATGTGTTTTTACTTAACACGGGTAAGATGCCCTGCTCAGGATGAAGACCACGGGAAATTCCCAACGCGTGCTTTGGGAAGGAGTGGAGATGTGAAGGAAAGGAGTGAGAGGGAGAGAGCGGTCCTTTCCCCAGCTTCCTGGATATTGTTCCTGTCATTTCAACATGAAATCGACCATAGTGGCTCTGAAGTGGAATCAGATTTGCTTGCAAGTGAAGTAAATACCAGTGGCCGAAGACAGGCCTCCTCACAGGCACGCGGCAGGAATGCTGACAACCTAGGGCCAGCATGGCAGCTCCATGAGTATCAGAGACCCACGTGTCGTCCGTCTTGTTGCTCTGTTATTTTAAACACGTGGTTTCTGCCTCACAGTCCATTGTGGCTGCTTAAGTTCCAGCTGTCACAGCCATAGTCCAGCCAGCACAAAGGAAGAAATGGGGAACAGGAGATAAAAGACCCATGCCAGCTGTCTTTTAGGAAGGTTTTCTAGAAGCTGCTACATATCATTTC